GCGGGCCTGCCCGGATGCGCCACGGTCCCGCTGCCCGCGTCCCCTGCGGCTTTGCTCTGCATCTCCCTAGACTGCTGAGGGTTCTCCCCTCCCCCCAGCAGACCAGGGAGACGCGGAGCAGCTTTGTTAGCCCCAGAGGACGTGGGCGGCGGGACTGTGGCGCGTCTGGGCGGTCCCGCCGGCCGTGTCCTCTGGGGCAAGAAAAGCCCCGTTCGTAACTGCAGATCCGACATAAGTCGGATCCGCGTAACTCGGGGACTGCCTGTATATGAAGTATGTTAAATTACAGTTTCTTGGCCCAGGGTTGAATTTTTCTGGTTAGTTGAAATTAGAACAAGTGTTTTGGGCAAAGTTCCCTTTTTAAAAACCATTCCTACCCCTTTTTTTGGCTTGTTTATAAATACTTGCTTTGTTTTAGTTGTTGGTTTTGACAAAATCTGGAGCCTCTGACTAGGATGATGAGATGATTAGGTTACTTACTTTGTTACACTGTTCAATTCATTAGACCAGTGTTTATCAACCAGTGGTACGAGTACCCTTAGGGTACTTGAGAGAAGTCTGGGGGGTACATCAACACAACTGAAATTTGGAGGAAACTGAATTTTTGTTTTAAATTTTACAGCGTCGTCTTATTTTTGTACTTTTTCTACCCAAACATTTCATTGCCTGCCTGGCTACGATTAAGTAGTTTAAACAAATGTGTTGCAATGATGGGGGAAAAAAATTGTGTCTGGAAACTATAGATACTGGGGGTATTTATAATTTTTTTTAAAGGGGTACTTTATAAAAAAAAAGGTTGAGAAACACTGCATTACACCATGGTACTTATTGGCAAGTCATTTAGCATGTTTCCTTTTCTGTAAAATGGAAATAAAAGTATTTGTTCTGTAAGAGTGCCAGGGGAGTGGTGGAGTGATTAGAATTACAAAGTATTATATTTTAAACAATTTTGTTATAAAACTCAACATGATACAGAGATGGCAGTGTCCTTTAAGGTGATCACTAGATTTCTGTTTGAAGAAATCATTTGCCATGCACATCTGTAGTATTGCTGAAATGATACAGTACAACTGAAGCTTATGATCTATTAGATGGCTAATTTTGATTGTTGCCTTGTAATAACTGATCTACCCAAAAAAAAGGGTTTTTACCATGAGTTAGCTAATACATGGTAAAATCCTACTGTAGACAAAGCAGGTGTAATTTTAACGTGTTAACCAGTCAAGGTAAACTCTTGTAAATGCCACATGAAACTGTAACTGCCTTGACCACAACAGGAATTTATCATGCGAGTGACCATGTGTAAACACGTTCAAAAAGTTTTTTTCCCTTGTATGGGCACGCTCACCAGTAACAATACTGCTGCAGCTAATTGAGATTCCTTTAGCTCAAGTAAACTTCTGAAGAGTTATGTGAAGATGTCCTATGGGTAAATTTTAAGTGATGTAGTGCTTTTTTATTTTTTTTAAAATGATGGTATGTCAGGTTAAAACTTTGACACTTAAACAGTTAGTTAATAAAGTATTTGTTTGTTACAGGATCTCAGAAATTACCAATATACCTTGCATACCATAGATAACTTATTTATTCATATGGAAATGGGTAAAAGCTGCATTAAAATCCCTCTGAAGAGATATAATGAAGTGAGTAAAAATGCGTAGATCATACTAATATATTCAGGAAATCTAACCCTTCCATTTTCCTCCTATAATATCTCTGAAATCTTGAAGATGAGAAATTGACAAAAATACTGTGAACCAATTTAACTAGAAGCTGCAAAATTCAAAAGACCTCATTAGAGGTTACTGTCTTGTCCAAATTGAGTGGCCTATGATTGTTTTATTAACTGTTCAGTGGACTAATTTTTTAGTTTTTAAACTTAAGTGTCAAGTACTCCTCCCTTCCCCCAAACAATATATTTTCATTGGATTGACTACCTGCTTCAGTGCTAATAGTTTAGCAAGATTGACAAGATCACTCTAGGATGGTAAAGTTAAGCAGGAAGATGGGTGATGAGTATAGGTGCTATTTGATAATAGAAATGTGGAGAAAGATTTCACTGAAATTTCTTTCAAGAATGTTTATACATTCAGTTTCTTGAACTGTGAAGTTTGTTCTTGTTTAAAAGGTGGCTTGACAGAAACATAGAATTGTATGTATAATCAAGCAGCGCATGAGTTTTTTTCCCCGGAAGTTATTTTAAATAATTTTTTGCCAATTTCAGCCTTAAAATTCATACTGTTTTTGCACATTCACAGTAAATCTGCTTGGAACTATGACAGAAACCAATAATAAGCACTTGTTCTTCAAGTGTTTGCTTGTGTCCATTCTACCTTAAGGGTGTGTGCTACCCATATGTATCGATGCCAGAAGCTTTTCCTTTAGCAGTATCCATAGGTGAGCAGTTGAGTTAACCTGTAAAGTGGCACCTCCTTGGCATGGTTTGCTTGCTCACTTACCCTCCATTCCTTCTTGCTGCCAGTGATGGTGCTGGAACCTTTTGCTGCCTTGTGCAGCTACTGTTAGTGTTACGCTCAACCTTTTTTCCTGTAAAAAAGTTATAGTTGTTAGCTATTTGTTATCCTTTAATAGTTTTAGTATAGCTAGTGTTAGTAGTTGGGCTCAAACAGGACTTTGCCTTAGGATGGGAACCAGACAGGGAACCAAGCATCTATTTTGAGGGTATGCCCAAGGATGACCTTACCAGACTGTTTCTGGGATCCAACTGTCTTTCCCAATTCCTCCATGCCTGGACACATACCACTTTGCTCAAGTGGGTCCCTCAGATGATGGCAGGAGTATACACCGTGCATTTTGTTTCTACTCTTTTTCATTGCCCTCAACTTAAAGGATTTGTATTTTTATATAGCGATATTCCCAGGACACAGGTGATTCCTCTGGTTCTCAATGAGACCTGGACACTACCAGTTCAGTCCTCCCTTTGGCCTGGTGACCACACTGAGGGCGTTCACCAAGTGTATGGCTGGTCCTACTAACCTAAGATACCGAAAGCTGCATCTATTCCCGTATCTCAACTGGCTTGTCAAGGCCTGCTCCTCATCCAAGGTTTGATGGGGTGCTCAGGAGCTACTGATCATTTGCAGGACTCTCAGCGTCTTTGTGAACACCAGGAAGTCCATAATTATCTCTGTACAGAAGATAGAATTTATGAAAGTAGTATTGGACTCTGCCCAGGCAGGAGCTTTCCTGCCATTGTACACATTTCAAGTTCTATTGAGCCTCATTACAGAGGTGTCCACATTTCCCCTGATGACAGCCAGGGTCTGTGTATGCCTGTTGAGCCACATGACAGAATGCAGTATGTAGTGCACCATGCTAGACACCACATGCAACTGCCCCAGCGCTGTCTAGCTTTGACCTACTCCTAGTCTAGGGACCACCTGGAAACAGTTATCCTCATCTCTCCAGCAGTCCTTGCCTCACTTCAGTAGTGGACTGGAGCCAAAAATGTCCTGGATGGAGTCCTGTTCAGTGGTCTCACTCACCCTACTGAACTGGTGTCAGATGCCTTGAACCTCAGTAGGTGAGCACAACTGGTAGGTCTGAAGACTATGGGAGACTGTCCCTGGATGAGATCTTGTTGCACATAAACATCAAAAAGCTAAGGGCAATCCAGTGGGCCTGATGAGTATTCCTGCTCCGTCTGTTGGGCAAACTGGTGAGGGTCGTGATGGATAACATATCCTCAGTATTCTACTAGGGATGTCATTGTGTGGATAACTACACAATTAACTGATAAGCCTAGGCTTATTGGGTAATCTTGTCAACTGCATGCATACCCTCCCAAACACACACTTTGCTACCTCTATCAGAGGCAGCAAGGTGGCAGGGAGCGGGAACCAGTGCCCGTGATGATAAAAAGCCAGCTTCCCACAAGCACCAGATCTGCTACAGAGGTAGCTGGGGGGCGGAATCAGGAAGGAGCCAGTGCTGGGGGAGTGGGCTTAAAAGCCAGTTCCCCCCAGCACCAATTCCACTGTAACACCTGCCCCCTCCCACACAGTGATGCCTCTGAAAGGCATCAGCATGGGGATGTGCAGGGGAGGGTGCTGCAAAGCAGCCTCTGTCCACAGGGAGCACAGACCCACCACCAACAGAGGCTGTTTAGTAGCAGCAATTCCTGCTCCAGAAGCCCGCCGTGAGCTTGGGCCCACCGCAGGCCCTGCTTCCCTGCACTGCTGCCTCTGTAGCAAAGGCAGCAGCGCAGGGTGCCAGGCAGCCGTTCCATGATGAGAACTGGTTTTTAAGTGACTCCCCTCATGGAATGGCTCTGACTGATGTAGAGGCAGCAGTACAAGGTGGAAGGGGCCTCCTCAGGCGTGTACTGGCTGTGGGCCCCTTCCCCAGGGACTATTGAATAGTCGTGAAACTGCTAATATTTCAAGTGGTTACACGACTGTTCAATTACACAATATCTAACATCTCTAGTTCTACCTTTAACAGTTAGGGAGGACTTCTACATCAGCCATGACATCCATCTGGTACCAGAAATATCTTGATGGATCATCTCGAGGGATTTCTCCTCTTACCCATGAGTGCTTCCTCCACCCGGAGGTGGCCTCCTTGCTCTTTCAGAGGTGGGGCATTCCCCAACTTGATCTGTTCGCTACCAGGTAGAACAGGAAATGCCATCACTTTTGCTCCTGCCGGGGGCTGGACAAGGGCACTTTCTTGGATATCTTCCTTTTGCTGTGGAGCAGTCAAGAGCAGAGGTGGGCAATAATTTTTGACAGGGGGGCCACTCGGAGAATTTGGAAAGTGGTCGAAGGCCGCGCTCTTCATGATATTAATGGAGGAGTTGCAGAGACTGGGACGGAGGTTAGGTGCAGAAGGGAGCTTGAGGAAGGGAGGTAATTTAGGTGAAGGAGGCAGTTATGACCTGGGGCACTAGACTAGGATGCAGGGGGTTGGATTGTGACCTAGGACAGCGAATTAGGGTAAGGCGTGTGTGCGTGCGCGTGCAGGGGTTTGGGTTGTGAACTAGGGCAGGAGGGTACTGTGATCTGGGGCATGCCAGATCTGGAAGGGGATATGGGGGCAGAGGATTTAGCTATGTGGAATGGGGGGGCAGAGGGCTGGGGAAGGGAGGAGCTGGAGTACCAGAGGCAGGGTCTAGCCAGGAGACTTAACAGCCAGCAGCCCATTCCTGTATCAGCCTCCCTATAGGCTGCAGCCATGTGCTTTGTATATAACTATGAGCCTCTTGTGCTTCATGGCTGCCTGTTGTTGAAACAGGCAGCTCCCAGTGGCCAGTTTCTGGCCAGAAGCCAGCCAGTGGGATTGTGCTAGGGACAGGAGCAGCTCCTAAAACTTTCCTTCCTCCCCTCCAGGCTCAGTTTTTAAAGTGAAACTGCCTCTCCACAGCATCTGCAGGCTGGATCTGGTGGCTTGATGGGCTGTATTTTGCCCAGGCCTGATCTACACAGCTGTAAACTCCTACATGCCTCCACACGTAGTGCCTGGGGTCACCTAATGTGGAACAGACGTGGGCAAGCACTCAAAGCTTCTGTAACTGGTGTTCTTTGAGATGTGTTGCTCGAGTTTCTTTCATGACCAATCGTCCTTTCCCACTGTCATAGTTTTTGGCAAGAAGGAACTGAGTGTGGTAGTGGGAGGCACAGAGCACATTGTCCCTTATACTGTGCCATGGCGGCATCACTCCAGAGGTCACCAGAGCTGTTCCCCTACAGATACTGCTGAGGGAAAAGCTTCTGGCGCTGGTGTATGTTGGAAGCACACACTCCTAATGAGGAATAGACTTAAAGAGCACTAGTTGTGGAACAGGTAACTGTTTTCTGGTTTTAGGGACCCTATTGGGCTTTGCAAATTTTGCAAACTGGGTTGACCTATACATAAAAAAAAATGTAACGTGTAACTTTAAAAATGAATAGTCCTGTGGCACCTTAAAGACTAACAAAATACATATAAATAATATAGTATCATGAGCTCTTCAGTGGGTTTTGCCCACGAAAGCTCATGATACCATATATATTTTTGTTAGTCCTGTTGCACTTTAGAAACTATTTGTGATAAAAAGGTGTCTTTGGAGGTCCTTAATGTTTGGTAGTATACTTTGTGAGAGGATTAACTTACATCAACTCTTCCCAATCAGTCAAACATTGAAGTTATGGTCATAAGTTCATAAAAATGTATCCTGATAAGTTGTTAATTCTAAAAAACAAGATGTAAAAATGTAAATGATACTTCAGCTTTATATAGAAAAAGCTAATGCTTACACAGAACTATCTTATCCATAGGATGATTTAGGGTGGTTGCCTCAAGCCCCATGATTTAGGGAGTCCCCCTAGCGACTACTTCAACCATCCTTTGGGTGGGACCCAAGGAATTACTTGAGGGCGGAAGGAGGCTGGTGCGGGGAGGCAGCAGGGTTCACCCCCACTGGTCCCATGCACTCACGTGATGGTGAGAGCCAGAGTGTCCCAACAGCCTGCTCTGCTCCTCCCTCCCCACCAGCCTTTGCCATCTAGCTGTGCCCCACTTCTCCATGGCAGCAGGAAGTAGAGCATCCTAGGCTTCCCTTCACTGTGGAAACGTGGAGCACAGCCGGACGGGAGATGAAGGCAGGGAGGAGTAAAGCAGGCTGCTAGGTTGCTCTGACTCCTGTCACCATGAGTGCAGGGGATGGGGGGGGGGGGCAAATCCTGCTTTCTGTCCCATGCCCAGCCTCTGGTAAATCCCCTGGCTCTCCCATTGCTCAGAGGAAGGGCGAAGGGATGGAGCTTGGGGGAAGAGGTGGAGGCAGGGCACGGCCTGTGGCCCCCAGCCCTCCCGCCCGGGACATCCCTGTGCTTACACTAGAGAAGCAGTTATTTTCCTAATTCAGGCTGAAATTTTCAACTCCGGCACATTCTGGTCTGGCATGATTTTAGTTAGCCAGATATCCACTTAAGAGTGTGGCCAAGTTTCCTCGCAGTCCCATAACGTTTGTTTACGGCTGCGAGTCCTGGCTCTGTGTTCTGTGCTGAAATTTAGCTCTAATTTACCCCCTAAATGTCTTCTAAGAGCCAAGTAAGCAGTGGAAGTGCTAGTAATGCTGCAAGACAATATTGATCTCCCATGGTTTGGCAAATTCTCTGGTTCCACACTGCTCAGGTCTGAACCAGAGGTTGAGAGTTCAACCCATGTAGCATTTCATCTGAAACAATGCTATTTTGCTGTTACACCACTAGAGTCCACAGAGGCCTCAACAAAAGAGCAAAGTTTTGATGCAGAAATGTCAGTGTCTAAATGAACATTTCATATTTGCAGATCATGAAAGTGATAAATTCTTCCAATGAGCATGTTGTTAGCATTGGAGCCAGTTTTAGCACTGAAGCAGATTCTCACTTAGTTTGTGTACAGAGTGATGGAGTTTATCAGACACAAGCAAATAGTGCTACTGGCCATCCTAGGAGAGGTAAGAGGTTTATTATATTTTTAATGTTCCATCAAATCTCTGAAGTTTGTATGTGCACCAACCAGTAGCTCGGGAACTACTGTTAGATCTTTGAAGCCCCTGATAGGTGATCCTGACAAGTTTGGCCAAGAGGCTATCAAGTGCCAGTGTGTCAACTGCCCTTCCCCCCACTGCCGCACATCTCCTGCCCTTTGCCTTGCAGCTTCCCCACCCAACAGCCTCCTGCTTGCTGTGCAGAGCAGGGAAGGCAGAGGAGGGGGTGCTGATGTCAGCATTCCCCCTCTCCCATCCTGTATTCTGTCTCCACAGAATGGAGGGGGGTACAATAGGACTTGAGATGGAGGGGGTTTGCTGGCTGGTTTTGAGAGTGGTGCAGGGACAGGGCAGGGGTGAGTCTGCCTTAGCTCCACTGCACCACCACCCAGGAAGCACCTAAGGTAAGCAGTTGCTAGCTGGAGCCAGCTCCAAACCCCTGTCTCAGTCATGAACCCCCTCCTGAACCCCAAGCCCCTGCCCTAGCCCTGAGCCCCCTGGACCCAAACTCCCTTACAGAGCTTGTACTCTGAACCCTCTCCTGCATCCCAACCCCCTGCCTGGTTGGAAGGAGGGAGGGAGTACAGAGTGAGCAGGGGTGGGGCCTCAGAGAAGGGGCACAAAGGAGGTGGGGTAAGGGTATTGGGTTGAGGTAGATTCTGGATTGCACTTAAATTCAAAAAGTGATTTTGTGCTTAAAAGGCTGGAGACCCCTGCTCTAATGATTTAGGTAGCTACAAGGTGCATATTCTTGTAGTTTTGTATGGGCAGATCCTATATAATTCCAAGTGCCTGGACCACAGTACAAAGGAGTGGAACAATTAAGCAGTGTATATTACATATATGTATGATATTCAGTAACTAGCAAAAATACTTCATAAAGCAGTGTTTGACAGCCTTCTCTTAATATTCCATTTATACTGAATAGTAATAGAAATGTAGCCATGTTAGTCTGGTGTAGCTGAAGCAAAATACAGGACTATGTAGCACTTTAAAGACTAACAAGATGGTTTATTAGATGATGAGCTTTCGTGGGCCAGACCCACTTCCTCAGATCAAATAGTGGAAAAAAATATATACCAAAGGATACAATTAAAAAAAAGAACACATATGAGAACACATATGTGATTTGTCCTTTTCATATGTGTTCATTTTTTTTAATTGTATCCTTTGGTATATATGGTTGTGACTATTTTCTTCCACTATTTGATCTGAGGAAGTGGGTCTGGCCCACGAAAGCTCATCATCTAATAAACCATCTTGTTAGTCTTTAAAGTGCTACATTGTCCTGCATTTTGCTTCAACTACCCCAGACTAACACGGCTACATTTCTATCACTAAACATGGCCAGTGCACATTTGCAAGCCTTTATCTGATACTTAGATAGCTAGTTTTTAGACTGTGTGACATACTATTTAACAATTATACCCAGTTCTGTTCAAGTCTATTTTTCTCTCTTGTCTATATCCTTTTGTTTTCCCTCCTGTGCTCTGCTACTTAACTCTGTGAAATGTTTCACAGTACAGTGTTGGTAGGAAAGATGTTATCTGCATTTACCATCATACACTCTCCCAAATCCAAGGTCAGGTGGTGGATGCTTACCATGCCAGCTGCTTTGGTTCTAGCCAATGGCAGCACGCCTGTAATGCTAACTGCAAACACCACTATAACCAGGAGGCAACCAGACAACTCTCGAACACCACATTTTACAAACCTCTCCCCTCTGATCCCACCTTGGACTACCAAAAGAAACTACACTGTCTCCTTAAAAGCCTCCCCACAGCTACTCGGGAACAAATCCACACAGAAACACCTTCTGACCCCCGACCAGGATTGTTCTATCTGTTTCCCAAGATCCATAAACCTGGGCACCCCGGACGTCCCATCATCTCTGGTATTGGCACGCTCACTACTGGTCTATCCAGCTATGTAAACTCTCTTCTCAAACCCTTTGCAACCAACACCCCCAGCTATCTCCGAGACACTACTGACTTCCTAAGGAAACTACAAAACATCAATAACCTCCCCAATAACACCATCCTTGCCACCATGGATGTAGAAGCTCTATATACCAACATCCCACATGAAGACGGATTACAAGCAATTAGAAACACTATCCCAGAGGACACCACTGCCAACCTGATAGCAGACCTATGTAACTTTGTTCTCACCCACAATTATTTCCAGTTTGAGAACAACTTATACCTCCAGATCAGCAGCACAGCCATGGGTACACGCATGGCCCCACAGTATGCTAACATCTTTATGGCTCTAATGAACAAAGGCTCAAACTAGCTTCCCCAATTATCACCTCTAATACCATTAGCTCACAGACATCTAACTCTCCCCACCTCTAATATAATTAATTCACAGACACTTACCTTCCTTCCTCCCCCTCCCCCCTCTGCATCCCCCTCCTGTTCTGAAATGTGATTTGTCCTTTTCATATGTGTTCATTTTTTTTAATTGTACTAATGAACAAAGGCTCAAACTAGCTTCCCCAATTATCACCTCTAATACCATTAGCTCACAGACATCTAACTCTCCCCACCTCTAATATAATTAATTCACAGACACTTACCTTCCTTCCTCCCCCTCCCCCCTCTGCATCCCCCTCCTGTTCTGAAATGTGATTTGTCCTTTTCATATGTGTTCATTTTTTTTAATTGTATCCTTTGGTATACATGGTTGTGATTATTTTCTTCCACTATTTGATCTGAGGAAGTGGGTCTGGCCCACGAAAGCTCATCATCTAATAAACCATCTTGTTAGTCTTTAAAGTGCTACATAGTCCTGTATTTTGCTTCATTTATACTGAATTATTCAACTTTCACTAACTTTTGACCTGTTACTTGTCCCTTTTCCAAAGCTTTATGTTTGTTACAGTTCTTAGATTAATTCAGTTTACATTTTTAAAAGGGTACTGTGGAATAGCTTCTGCTCCATTACTTTGACACTCTTAAAATTGCCGTAAATTGTGGAGTATCTTTCAGATTCTAAACCGATACACATCTTTTACATTTGTCTACTTACGACCTAGACTAGAGACTAAGAGAAATTAGCAGTATCAAACTGTTTGTATAGTCCTTTGTCACTACAGACTCATTCTGTAAAAGTACTCAGTACTAATTGTTTTCAAAGGAGGGTATTAATGGTGAAGTAAATGGGTTTTCACAGTGTTTAGTGCCATTTACAGATTGATTTATTATTTTTCTTAATAGAATGTTCCAGATATTAAAACCTAATTTTAGAGAGAAGTTCATGTATAAGGAAGAAATAAGTTTTAGGTCCTACATATTTTTTATTCTTTCTGTTTTTTCCTTTGACTGCTGTTGTGCCTGTATGACTGCCAGCACCCCGTTGGGATGCTGAATGTTTTCTTAAAACTACAAAAAGTAGCAAAATCAATGCCTTTCTCTATCCTTGTTTCAAGGAGTGAATTCTCTTGACTGTAGCAAGAGCCACATCAGCATTATCTTCCTCTAAATGAGGAAATTTATGTGCACTTTGAATGTAGGATAATATTTAGCATTTGATCTGGAGTGCTTTTACATTTTCAAAGTGAGGATTAACAACTCACTAAGTTTAAAGGTGGAATATGAAGTACTTCATGTGTTTACTTTTGTGTTCAGTTACAGGTGCAAGTTTTGTAGTATTCAATGGAGCCCTAAAAACATCTTCTGGATTTCTTGCTAAATCAAGTATAGTTGAAGGTATGAATTGCATCAAATGGTCCCTTATTAAGAGGAAAAGAATTGGTGTTGAAACACTATTCTGTGTAATATTGATGTGATTAAGTCTGTCCCATTGTAAACTAAGCTTTTTCTTAAGGTTTGTGACTTAAAAAAAACTTGTAATAAATCATGATATGTAAATTCCCAGTTTAGGATATAGATTTTTTTTAAGCATACTTGTACTATGTGGCTTTTTTTGGACCTCTTCACTTAACACCTGTCACTTTGTAAAGAATTTCAAAATGAGAGGCTTATAAGAGAATTTAACTCTAATTGTTTCCTGTATGCTTACGTGTTTACCTATACTTCTTGTATGATATTTTGTGGCTCACTACGTTGTTCAAGCTTCATGGAATAAACTTTTTGACCAGATAGAACATTGGGTCCCTTAGTTTACCTTATTGTTCACCAAAAAAAATGAAAATTCAATTAGCAATTTTTCATATAGCATTTCATTTATGATGAGGAAAGAAGTTAATATTCAGTGCACAGGCTTGTGAAATTCCATTTCCTAAACAAGTGAAGATGAATTGACTAGCCAAGGTTCTATTAAAATATTCTTCCTTTTTTATTCTCTAAAGGAAAGTGGAAAATTGTATTGTTTTTCTTTCAGATGGACTAATGGTACAGATAACTCCAGAGACGATGGAAGGTTTACGTCAAGCTTTAAGGGACAAAAAGGACTTTAAAATTACATGTGGCAAAATGGATGAAGCAGAACAAAGAGAATATGTAGATATTTTCTGGGTAGACAGTGAAGACAAAGTAAACCAGGGGTATGAATATTTGTTTTCTAAAGCTGTGTGTTGTTGGGCTTTTCTCTTTTCTTCCTGTCTCTCATGAAATGAAGGGTAAATATTTAAAGAATGGAAAGTGAAGTATTTGTAATTAAAACTAATGTCTTGCTATTAAAGTTGCTGAGTGAATAGGAGAGAAAACTACCTGTGCATCTCTAGAGATACATAGTGAGAACCACTTAAGACTACAATGGTCTTGTGAGATTTTTAAGCAAGTGCATGATTTGGGAATGGTGGAAAAGAGAGTCTTCTTTATGGGGACACTTGTTTTTAGCCACAATAAATCTGAGAGAGAGATTGGCTCCCTTCAGAGTTCAACAGTGTCATTAATAAGATAGAGGGGTTGTGCAGTGAGTGCTACAAGATTCTTTCCCGCCCCCATGCCTGTGACTGTCCAGGCACAATCAGTACTACAGGATGAATCTCTCTGGTTTAGTACTCTGTTTTAGTACTCTGTAGTCTGACAATGTCTGTGGCCCAGCATGATTTTAGATGACCATGCCCATGATAAGTGGATGTCTGGCTAAGGTTCCTGTAGTCCCATAAAGTTTGTTTATGGCCACCAGTGTGAAGTTATTTAGCTCCATTTTACCCCTAAGTGTCGCAGTAGAAGTATTGGTAATGCTATGAGACAATATTGATCTCCCGTGGTTTGGCAAATTCTCTGGTTTGGCAATGGTCAGGTCCCAGGGATGCCAGACTAGAGAGGTTCAACCTGTATAACATATGAATTAATATTAACACAGTAGCTTTCAGTCTTTTTTCATCTGTGGACTTCAACATTTCAAATGGAGATGTGGGCAGCTTGGAAAATCCTAGACCCATGGGTCTACAGACTGCAAGTTTAAAACCATTGGTTTAAGTTTCATTTTAGGTAGCTTACAGAAACTTTTTTGTTAGTGTGTGCTTGAATATCATGATCAGGGCTTGCTCAGCCACGGCAAGCCCTGCTCACCAGCTGCGCTGTCTGGCGATCTGCGCATGCTTAGATCGCCCGAACCCGGCTCTTCCGGGTTGTAATCTGCTCGCCACAGGTGAGTAGATTACATAGATTGTCGAGCCCTGATCATGATTAATGTTCAAAATTAGTCTCTTGTATTGTAATTAAATACCCCAAAACAAGTGGTTCTCAAATTATGGGCTTGACTTAATCCTCCTTCTAATGGCTCACAGAATCAACAAGTGCATACACAGGAAAGTAGTATATAATTGTGATGCTAAATATCACATAATTGACTAATCCAATAGTCGATAGGGCGCTTCTGCCTTTGAAGTGCAGCTTGGGGATACCCAGCTGGCCCTGGGCTGCACATGGCATTGCAAAGCAGCAGCGCTGCGTGGAGCTCTAGATCTGGCCCCAGGCTCCACGCAGCACTGCTGCTTTGAAGTGCCCCCTCCTTTTCCCCCCAACCCCAGCTGCCTCTTTGTGATAGAGGCAGCAAGAGGGGGGAAGGGACTAGTTGACTAGCCTGTCAACTAGTCATTCACATCCCTAGAGTAGAAGAGCTTCTCTTAAATAAGGAAAAGATGGAGCTCTACTAATCTGTGGTAGGTCTACACTACCACCCTAGTTCGAACTAGGGTGGTAGTGTAGACCTACCACAGATTAGTAGAGCTCCATCTTTTCCTTATTTAAGAGAAGCTCTTCTACTCTAGGGATGTGAATGACTAGTTGACAGGCTAGTCAACTAGTCCCTTCCCCCCCCCTCCTCGCAGCATTTCAAAGTGGCAGCGCCGCATGGAGCCCAGTATTAGCTAGCGGACATTTAAAAATGGCGGCGCCCGGCCTGGTTAGTCTGTTAGGTACTGTTCTGTAAAGTGTATGTGTTTACCTAGAATATGGTAAGGGTTAAATTTTATATACAGTGAACCCTCGTTTATCGCGGTAGATAGGTTCCAAACCCGACCGCGATAGATGAAAATCCGCGAAGTAGGATCCTCAAAGCCTCGGGGGAAGCCGGCCGGGGGGCATCCCAGGCGCGCCTGGGCTGCTCCCCCGCCGGAGCCCCTCCGCGGCTTTCAAAGCCTCGGGGGAAGCCGGCGGGGGGGGCATCCCAGGCGCGCCTGGGCTGCTCCCCGCCGGAGCCCCTCCGTGGCTTTCAAAGCCTACTTCGCGGATTTTCACCTATCGCGGTAGGGTTTGGAACCTATCTACCGCGATAAACGAGGGTTCACTGTATATGTACAGTATGATGGGGGCTAATTTGGCTATGACAAATCAGGAAAGAGATCTTGGAGTTATAGTGGATAGTTCTCTGAAAACTTCCACACAGTGTGCAGCGGTGATCAAAAAGGCAATTAGGATGCTAGGAATTATTAAGAAAGGGATAGAAAATAAGACACAGAATATCCTATTGCCCCTGTATAAAACTATGGTACGCCCACATCTTGAATACTGTGTACAGATGTGGTCTCCTCACCTCAGAAAAGATATCGGCTGATGTGAGAATGTCCTGAGGGCCAGCTGCTTGGTCAGCCACACTGGTGGATGAAGAAATCACCCAAGCCATGGAAAAAGGTGACAGAATCCACTACTTCCATGACAGAGAGCCCTCGTTCATAATTACATCAAAAGTTTCTAAAAGGAAAATGTAACACCTCTACTTTTAAAAAAAATAAAAATATCACTCCTATCCACATATTTGATATGAAAATCAAAGAGAACTGCAGTAATGTAGCCGGCATGTTCCTATAGCTACATGCCAAAAAGGTGGCTATTTCTGTGGTAGTGCCTTCCCTTATCAATGCTATTTAGAATAGCAACTGGTATCAATATGATATTTTAACAAACTATTTACTAGTATTCATTTACTTACTTCAGTACACTTCATAAGCTTTTCCTCAGTTTCAAAATCTTCTCCCTGTAGTATTCTTTCACTTTGAATCCCTTCCATTGACTTTCCATCTACTGGGCTTATAACTCTATAAAATAAGTGTATAGTACATTACAACTGCATCAGAGCATTCTTCCATCTAAAAATAAACTGTTCAGCGGAAAACACATTGCTTTAAATTAAATCAAATGTCAGAGAGTGTTAAATTTTGGCTCATCTTTAATGATCTCTCTATATAAACAAAATGTGTAGTATCAAAATACATATAAGAAGGGAGTCTATGGTATGTGTATGTTTTACACTAAACGTTTGCTATTTTCATTCTACAGTGAACCCTCGCTACTTCGCGGTTCGACCATCGCGGATTCACGTATATACATAATGTAATGAAAAAAGTCCGCGAAGTCGTGAATCCGCGATGGTCGAACCGCGAAGTAGCGAGGGTTCACTGTAGAATGAAAATAGCAAACGTTTAGTGTAAAACATACACATACCATAGACTCCCTTCTTATATGTATTTTGATACTACACATTTTGTTTATATAGAGAGATCATTAAAGATGAGCCAAAATTTAACACTCTCTGACATTTGATTTAATTTAAAGCAATGTGTTTTCCGCTGAACAGTTTATTTTTAGATGGAAGAATGCTCTGATGCAGTTGTAATGTACTATACACTTATTTTATAGAGTTATAAGCCCAGTAGATGGAAAGTCAATGGAAGGGATTCAAAGTGAAAGAATACTACAGGGAGAAGATTTTGAAACTGAGGAAAAGCTTATGAAGTGTACTGAAGTAAGTAAATGAATACTAGTAAATAGTTTGTTAAAATATCATATTGATACCAGTTGCTATTCTAAATAGCATTGATAAGGGAAGGCACTACCACAGAAATAGCCACCTTTTTGGCATGTAGCTATAGGAACATGCCGGCTACATTACTGCAGTTCTCTTTGATTTTCATATCAAATATGTGGATAGGAGTGATATTTTTATTTTTTTTAAAAGTAGAGGTGTTACATTTTCCTTTTAGAAACTTTTGATGTAATTATGAACGAGGGCTCTCTGTCATGGAAGTAGTGGATTCTGTCACCTTTTTCCATGGCTTGGGTGATTTCTTCATCCACCAGTGTGGCTGACCAAGCAGCTGGCCCTCAGGACATTCTCACATCAGCCGCTGCTGGAGCAGCCCTGGGGACAGCTACATCAGCTATTGGTTTGGCACCTCTGGGCAGTGGTTCCTAGTTGGCCAGACCAGCTGCCACCATAGCAACTGGTGCTATTGGTCTCAGCCACCCCTTTATCCCCCAATATACTAAGAATACCTCTGATTAAAAGGCAGGTCAAAGGCCGTAAAAAATTTTTTTTATTGCCCATGTCCTGTTGATAATTTTTATTGAAAATATCTGGGATTAAATTGTAGCCTTAATTATGAAACTTCGAATCCATTTATTCTCCTGGTACTTGTTAATTCACTACATGTTTTAATTGTAAGGATATTTTCCAACAGTACTAACACAGTATTTACTGTTGGGGACCTGTTGTTTTTTCCTACTTTTGGAAAATACCTAGCCCATTTGCTCAGATCAAATAATGGAAGAAAATAGTCACAACCATATATACCAAAGGATACAATTTAAAAAAAAGGACAAATCACATTTCAGAACAGGATACTAAACTCCAAGAAGCTCTGGGAGACAGACCCATAGTCTCGTATAGACAACCACCTAACCTCAAGATGATTCTTACCAACAAGCACAGGACATACCACACTAATACCAACCCTGGTACCTTCCCTTGCAACAAACCCCATTGCCAGCTTTGTCCACATAGTCACTCTGCTGATACCATTATTGAGCCTAACCAAGTGAGTTATAAGATCAAGAATACATATTCCTGCGCATCCAGAAATATAATTTATGCTATCATGTGCCGAAAGTGTCCATCTGCTATGTACATTGGACAAACATCTCAGACACTTCGCCAAAGAATCAATGCCCACAAAACAGATATTAGACAGGATCACAAAGAAAAAACAGTTTCTTGCCATTTCAACCAGAAAGGACACTGCCTCAACGACTTAATTACCTGCATCCTGCTCCAGAAGCCTTTTAAATCTGCACTTGAAAGGGAATCCTTTGAACTGTCATTCATGCTAAAATTCGACACTCTACATGTCGGTCTCAACAAAGACACTAACTATCTTACCCATTACGAAGAGAGCTTCCCTAATTATCACCTCTAATACCATTAGCGCTCAGACATTTACCTTCCTCCCCCCCCCGCCGCATCCCCCTTCTGTTCTGAAATGTGATTTGTCCTTTTCATATGTGTTCATTTTTTTAATTGTATCCTTTGGTATATATGGTTGTGACTATTTTCTTCCACTATTTGATCTGAGGAAGTGGGTCTGGCCCATGAAAGCTCATCATCTAATAAACCATCTTGTTAGTCTTTAAAGTGCTACATAGTCCTGTATTTTGTTTCAGCTACGCCAGACTAACACGGCTACATTTCTATCACTAGTGCCCAAATGTGCTATAATCATAATAAACGGGGCTTAACAAATGCACTCGCCCATGGTGAGTACATTTTTCCAGCTGGCGAGTGCAGGGGCGAACTGGCCCGGTAGGCCCCATCCGATCCGCCGGCCGGCGGAAAAGCACAACGCCACTGGGAAGGGGGAAGTGCTGCAATTCTTCCCACCGGACTGCTTGTGTGCAGTTCCGGCCTGAGGAGGCGGGGTGGGACGCCAGGACGCTGGCCCCACCTTTGTCTCCGTGCCGCCTGTTCGCCACACCTCCCCTGCACCCTGGATCCCCTGCTCTCCCTCTTCCCTGTGACCCTTTGGCTCTGCACGGCCCTTACACCCTGCACCCCCCGATCCCTGTCCCCCAGCTCTGTACTGCCCCTTCCCTGCACTGCCCCAGACCCTGATCCCTCTGCCCCTCCTGTTCCCCGCGTCCCATTCTCCGTGCCTCCACCGCACCCTGCTCCCCCTGATCCTTGCCCCCCCAGCTCTGTGCTGCCCATTCCCTGCACTGCTCTAGACCCCGATCCCTCTGCCCCTCCCGTTCCCTGTGTCCCATTTCCCGTGCCTCCACCGCACCCTGCTACTCCCGATCCCTGCACCCCTCTGGCTCTGTGCTGTCCCTGCATCCTGATCCCCCTGTGGGTCGGGAACAAAGGGTGCTTGCCCATAGGGAGGGGCTGGACAGGGCAGGGAAAAGGCTGCTGTGACCCAGCAGCGAGTGAAAGGGGGAGTTCACTTGAAGTGCCTTTGCCTTTATGGAAAAAAAAGAATGAAAATGCTATTCGTTATTTATAGAGCTAAAATGCCGGGACAAAAGAGAAAACAAAAAAAAACCATTGCAAAATGCAGAGATGTGTAAAAGACAGCAACAAAGGAGCGGGGGGGGGGGGGGGGGAAGGTTGCTG